TGATGAATGGCGATGATGATGACGCTACATATGTATGTATGTATGTATGCATGTATGTATGTATGTATGTATGTATGTATGTATGTATGTATGTATGTATGTATGCATGTATGTATGTATGTATGTATGTATGCATGTATGCATGTATGCATGTATGCATGTATGCATGTATGCATGTATGCATGCATGCATGCATGTATGCATGTATGCATGTATGCATGTATGCATGCATGTATGTATGTATGTATGTATGTATGTATGTATGTATGTATGTATGTATGTATGTATGTATGTTTGTTTGCTTGCTTGCTTGTTTACTTGCTTGTTTACTTGCTTGTTTGCTTGCTTGTTTACTTGCTTTTTTGCTTGCTTGCTTGTTTGCTTGTTTGCTTGCTTGTTTGTTTGTTTGCTTGCTTGTTTGTTTGTTTGCTTGTTTGCTTGTTTGTTTGTTTGTTTCAAAAACTGACATCAAATCCCCTTCTAAAAAAATTCGGCAGATCCCAAGTACCTTGGGAATTGACGTTAGGCAAACATGCTGAGATAAGGTAACCATGCTGTAATTTTTTATTGCGTGACACGTTATGAAATGACGCCAGATATATGTTGATATATAGCACGCGCAGACATGCGTTGAATAGTTGCAGATTTTTACATGACCAGTTGTTGGCCCTTGCGCAACGATGCCAAAAAAAACATGACTATTAGCAACGCCAGAAGCGATACGCTGATATGAAGCGCTGGTGCTCGCGAGGATGGTGTCCTTGGACACTGCTTCATGAATCAACTTCAGCGCATGACACCTAACTATCATTGACGTTGACCCGACGTTACGGCTGTATGGTAGGAGTACATATGTAATGTTTATGAAACCGTAAAACCGTATAGCCGGCACTGCAGCCACAATTGACGTTTCACGAACATTAGAGTCTATATATTTGAAAAGTAGTTCCGAGACCTGGCTTGACCCTGAGGTAGAATACTTGATTGCTACGTGGAATGCTGGGGTTAGTTTCCTCCTGGGACCGTGAGATTTATTCTTTGCATTCATTGTATCAACGCTGTCGTTATCATATTTTTCTTTCTTAACGCTTACGTGTTAAAATTATCCGCGTGTGTTTTCGTCATTTCTGGGTATACATACAAAGTGTAAATCACATGTGGCACATACCCGCATACCAGAGGCACATACCCGCCCACGGGTATGTGCCACTGTCTGGCGGAAAGTACTTGACGACGTACGCGACGGAACTGTGACATTATTCATGTACTGTCCAGCGCGTTATATTCGTCAAATCATCTTACCCTCCCATGTACTAATTTTGGTTCACGCAAAGTGAGGTATAAGCTTGAGACCCCCGAGTTCAAGCAATGAAACGGATATCAAGTGATAGGTAACTTAGCCGTTGAAGGCAGATTAAGAAAACTACAATAAAATAGAATCAGCGCACGTAAGAGAAAGTAGATTGATCACTACTGGGAAAATTCGTCCTGCAGTGAACTTACATTATAGGATGATGATAATGATAAATATGATCTTAAATCTAAATTGCTTACGTGTCCTTGTCAACAATTGTGGAGCGTTTCAATCACCCTGGGTAGGAGACGATAACCGATTAACGTCAGCACATTTGTTTTTTAAGATTACAATACGTATACAGTCGCGCTGAATATGAGTTGCAACACGCTGGCCCTGGATAAAGTGACACCAAGCCTGAACAATGACACCGAAAAACGTTAAATTGGGTAAGAAAGTAACGTCACTTGAGATGTGTAGGCGTCACTTATGCGACGCCTACACATTTTACAGAGTAACGTCATTTATGTGTAGGCGCCACATTGCAGAGTTGGCGCCATTTTGAGTATATACGGACAGAGTGTTTCAACACATTTTGAGCGCAACGTACATCTGACAATCGGAATGGAAAATAGAGAATATCGAGGCACTGCATTATAAATGATAAGCAGTTAGACAACGGTAATCCATCATAGCCTGATCATTTGTATGCACTTGTGATGGGCACATAGCAGAGTGGAAGGCGAGGAGGCGTTTTGATGCTAAAGTGTTTAGGCTTCACACTGTTTTCCTGAGTGTTTATTTCGTAATGCACTTCGTACCTTTCAAGAAAGAACGGACGTCTTCGCTTCGGCATGCGACAAAAAAGGGTGCTTAAGAACGTGTTAATGCGGTAACTAAAAGCGAACGCCACTCCTTCACGCACGGCTCTCGGCCCTCCACGTGCACAGGGTGCAGCGCGGCAGGCGCATCTGTCACGAGCTCTGTTCATGCACAGCGCGTGAACACCACGTGCTGAGCTGTGGATTCAAATACCAACAGGCTTCCAATGGGCGTCGGTTGCGCCGCAGACACGATCCAGACGCGTACACGTCGTTTAATGTACCACAAGGAGAACCAAGGGACCTTAAACCACTACAGCGTGCACGGCGGCCCATGGCGAAAAAGGGGTGCGTTTGGAATAACGAAGCAAGATGGAGGGAGAAACCCATTTTCGCTCCTCCTGCCCGCCACCTTGACCTTGGAATAAACCATAAGTCTTGATAACGAGCGCAATCCGCCTCGCTCTTACATTCTCGGTGATCGCATAGCGAACCAGAGTATAAAAGAGATGGCCTATTAAAAAAAGGGCGAAAATAGTAGGTTCGTGGTCAATGCTGATGCTTGGTGCTCTTCTGTGCAACCCGTGCGGAATGCACGGCTCCGGGCTTCAGTGAGCTCTCCATCAATGGGACGAGAACAAGTCGGGCGTGCACAAGGTACAAAATAAAAGTTGTGGGCGAGGGGGTGGCACTTCTCACCACTGCCGTTGGACCAGTCCGAAAGAAAACAATGGATGCAGAAATAAAAAAAATGGAGCGATCAAGTTCTTCTAACAACCCGATTTTGATGCCGACTTTTCCACGGGGCAACACATAGACGTATATAGTTCTTAGTATGCAATATCAGTGATCCATGGTCGACACTATCACAAAAAGTTTGCATGGCCGTTTCCCCGACATGGTAGGACAGGTACGAATGGGCGAAGAAAGGGAGCTGACCTAGCCACCTGCTTATATTGTTGGAGAGAGGGGGGCTTCGTCCTTGCGGAAAGCCGTTGTCCTTGTTCGCAGCCTTGAGCCAAGTTCGGTATCAGGCAAGAATTCCGCTATTGCCTGTATATGCAATAAGCTCATTTCTGTACGGTGCTGTTCATCTAAGGTGCAGCGAAAGGACAAAAATGCGGGACAGCGCCTGTATTTCCAGAGTGATCAGGCGCCCAGTTACTTCGACGTCGCGTAAGGCCCGTGTTATGGTTTGGGCAACACTAAAATTTACACGCATTATATATACATAATTGACCAGAACCCCATCGTTAAACTTCAAATACAATTCTATTTCATATAGGGCAACAAGAATTATATCGATTGATTCTAACAACTCTATTGAGGTCCTGTGAAACGCGCTCTAGCGTGAAGTGGGCCACTCCCACGTCGGGGTCGCGAAACCAAGGCCTTTTAGCCGCTTTGCGGGCCTGTTGGACAGCAAGAATTACATGGCAAGAAAAAATATGAGTACACTAAGACACTTGAATTGAACATGAAATATTCACAAAATGCGGGCAGATGAAATCGGCAATACGCTCGTGGTGTTCACTTGATGTTAAAGTTGAGCTTGAAAAATTATGTTATATGCCAGCACCCACTTCGGAGGAGAAGTCGAGAAACGGAAGAAACAAAAATGGACAGATGAGTTGTGACTTGAAAATTTTTAGAAGTGTCGCAGAGCCCTCGTCTCTCTTGAACGATATACTATATCATTATTTAACTATGAACAAAAAAGCATAAGCAAAGGGTACTAATGTAATTATTCGTTTATTTAGTCAATACTGCTGACTACAAGTGCAAGCAGGATGGTTATTACATATACAAATAAAGATATAAATAAAATATCAATTGCCGAACTGAAACAATAAAGAGCGATGAAGGTTGCTTGGTAAGGCAATCCATTTATCAAATGTATTAGTAGGGCAGTTCTATTCACATATGGTTCTTAAATAGTACGAAAACTTAAGTAGGTGTTAATCTATCCGTAATGTATTAAGTTCACTTAGTGTATTAAATAAACTTTAATGTATTCGTACGTGTCACCATGCGTCACATTTCATTTGCAGATGCATGATGTACCTCACTGCATGGATGATTACTCCAGTCAAAGGAATGTCTGTTCACACCAACTTTTGCAAGAGTGCTTTAAAAGTGTTAAGAGAGTAGAACGAACAAGTTTGGAGGTATATCTGTTCTGGCCTAATTTGGAAGGAACGCACCACAATCATCGCCAAAGTCGGACGTCACTATAACCGGATTACTGTCGCCCTCAACCTCATTAAACTGTACTAACAATCTACGTTTACTTTCACATTCTACGTTAGATGAGGGTCCTTCAATTAATTTCTTGGGAATTGTAATAAGGTTCCCTGGTTCGGTTCAGACATGTAATACATGTAACGGGCCTTACACAATAAAGTAAGGCGACTGTTTTCGATTTCGCATGGCGTAAAGCGTCTGTAGTCGGGTTAAGTAACAGAACTGAAAGACTCGTGTTCAACCAGGCAAGCTTTCTTCATGTTCGCAGCGCGTGGGCTCTTCCGCAACGGAAAGCATAATGTTCGCGGACGTTTTGAAACCGAGCAGTCCACCATTGCGAACTTCCGCGAATAACAACAACTATCCGTTGCTACATGTGTCAGTGCGTGTGGTTTCTCGCGCTTCAGTGCAGGCATCGAAAGCTGCGCCAGCTATACTCCTGCACTCCCAGCGCAAACCCCCTTAGCGATAACCTCGCTACACAAGACACACCCCCAAGTTTCTGTCAGATGCAGCCGCCGTCAAGGGGCTCGATTTTACACTACGCGTAGTCGAATCGGGTTTCACTGGGGGTGTGTCCCGTGTCGTCATCGCTGATCTCGCAACGCGTCTGGGTTTTATATAACGCGACCGCACTCGTCTCTCCGTATGGCTGAAAAAGGGGGGCGTAGAGCGTGGCTCGGCGAATCAAGAGCGTCGCGAAGAACACGACCTCATGACGTCGGCCGAAGGTTCGCGTCTCGTCTGCTTCGCAAGCGTGCACCGGGTTCTGCAAGTCCTCTTGGTCGGAGGTACGTATGCCACTCGATAACTTCTCAACCGGCGTTCGACTGCTAACCCAAAGGTGGCGGTATCGAATCCCGGTCGCGTTACGATTGAGGCGAAATGCCAGATGGCCCGTGCGCTTAGATTTAGGCGCACATTAAAGAATTGGGCCGGGCATGTAGCGCGCAGACAGGATAACCGCTGGTCATTAAGGGTAACTAACTGGGTTCCAAGAGAAGGCAAGCGGGTTAGGGGGAGACAGAAGGTTAGGTGGGCAGATGAGATTAAGAAGTTTGCGGGTATAGATTGGCAGCAGCAAGCGCAGGACCGGGTTAACTGGGGGAACATGGGAGAGGTCTTTGTTTTGCAGTGGACGTAGTCAGGCTGATGACGCTGACGATGATGAAAGAATTCCATGTAATTGGAATTTCCAAGCCCTCCACTACGTCTTCACTCAGACATATCGTACTTTTGGGAGTGCAACTTCGACAAATGTTATTAAATGTTAGGCTAAACGCGGCCGTCTGTACCAGAGGATAAACTGTTATCCCACCAAGGACTAAATACGCGCAATTGCGTGTCGTGTGCAAACGCTTGCTTTGAAAGAAAATAAAGGGAGAGCAGCACGCCTGTTTGATAATTTAGTGCAGCAACATAGATGTAGCCACGTCTTCCCGTATGTGATGTGGCTTGAAGCTAGCGCACACTCTGCATCAGCTTTCTTCGTCCTTTGCGCTTGCTTCTTTATGGTCCTCGTCAGTGTCATTTAGGATATTCGTTTAGAATATATAGGTCATCCCGTTTTCGTGCCAGCCGTTGAGGCCGCGATCATGTTTCCCTGCAGCAGTAGTCAGGCAGACGAGTTGTGCACTGTAAAAGAACGGAAACCTCGACCTGTACCACTAAGCACCTGCAGGTAGACAGCATCGCTGCCACTAAAGAAGCGAACGTTAAAGCAGTAGGGACCCAATGAAACAAATTATTTTGGATGAAAAAGTGTCTGCCATCATTAGCGGAACGACAGGCAGGGGCATAATGTTGGCCACATGGTGTATAGCTTGCCGTCGTAACGCATAAAGTGGCTTCCTACGTTATTAGAGATACGACAAGGACACCGAACGCGGGTCCTCCCTAAACGACTCTGGCTTCTAATTAACTAGCTAGGCTTGTGGACTACCTTACTAACACACGTGCCGAACCTCGCCTTCACCTCCTTTTATTAAATCCTTACATTCCGTAAGCTGCAAGCTCTCTGTCGCGAACAAAATTGGGCAGAGAAGAAAACACTCGTGTTTTTTTTTTCAGATGTGTTTCTATAGGTGTGAGAGGCGGTACACTGTATGTAGTTCAAGCAATTAATGGCGCAAAAAAAAATCGGGATGAAAGTGACAAAAATGTCAAGTATGAAATCCGAGCTTGGGACTGTCGTGAAGTCACTCTGGCGCTCACCGTCATCGTTTTCTGGTCGTCGTATTGCCAATATTGTCAAGTTAGCTCTATTTTAAACCTATAAGGCTAGCATGGTGTATTCAAGCGAACGCAAAGCTCAACTATACGTATTTCCTATACTACAAACAGTACCATACCGTCCACCCTGAGGTCGAAATTTAGTCGTGTTCTGTTGAGCATGAGTCTTCAACAAACACATAGTCCCGCGAACCTGTAGAAACGGTACCGTAATAGTATAGAGTTACTCGCGTTTGATTGTTTAAAAGAGGCCCTCGCTCAGTCCGCATCTTCCTTCGCCGTGTATGCTCCGTTGGTCAGCTCGTCTCTCCTCCTGTCTGCTCTTCAACGTGCGAGGAGGAACAGCGACAAGCGCGCATATCTGCGAGCGGTCAAACAAGTTAGTATAGTAAATGACATGACTAGACGCGAATGATGACGTCACGACAGACACTGATGATTACCGAAAGGCCCGGAGATGAGAAGGGATTGTTTCTCCGGATTTGCGAAGCGCCCACGGTTCGCATAGCTGCCGCTTTTGGGGTTGTATAAGATCGTGACGGTGTTTTGAACTGGGTGCGCGCGTTTGCCTGGAATGCTAAAAAAATAACGGAGGTGGTTTACGAACATCTTAACCCGGATTCCATGCCCTGTCCTCGCAGGCTTGATGCTCCGGTGCTCATCTGCGCTGCGACTGCTGAAGGTGAAGGCGCCGCCGACTGTGTTGTACGGCGGTGTCGCCAAGCTGGACTGCCAGTATGACCTCGGGTCGGACACGCTGTACGCCGCCAAGTGGTTCAAGGACGGAAACGAGTTCTACCGATACAGGCCCGGCGTCGGAGTTACCACCTTCCCTCTGCAAGGTATCACCGTAAACGTAAGTATATCTTGCTTCTATGTGTGTGTGTGGTGGGGGAGGGGGGAGGGGGAGGGAAAAACAATAGCTTTTCTTGGGATACTTCAACGCAGAAATTTTTATATATGTGTCTTTTGGTACTCCTGTCCAACGATTCAGCCACCCGGCGAAAGTTTAGCCCCTTGCTCAACGTCAACCCATCTTGATGACTACGTTCTCGTGAACATTGTCAAAGAGCGAATATTACGCATATTTAGGGCGCATCATCAATAGTGATTGTTTGTCTAGTTGGTACTTGCTTACTGACATGATTTGGCCGCAAATAGTACACACACAGAGTAAAGAAACACTCAACGACAAGCACAAAGCCGCTTGTGCTTGTCATTGAGTGTTTCTTTACTCTGTATGTGTATTATTTGCGGCCAAATCATGTCAGTAATCGTCAATAGATAGGTAGAATGAGTTTTTATTTAGAAAATAACATAGATAAGTAGTGCTAAAGACCGCAGTGTTTATTACACCGCGCTGACAATGCGACGCTATGAACGAAAAAGCGGGTGTTTCTTTCGCTTCGCTAGAACAAAAGGTAGCATATACAGTAACTCTATAGCTAGAAACGGCCCTGCGCTGTCACCTACCGGTGGCTCTGCATTCTAAAAAACTTGTTTCTTCACATTACTGCCAGATGGCGCCGTAACTCATGCAGCGCCTCCAGACAAAATACTATCGTTTTTTGACGTCTTTTTCAGCGAAGCACACATACTTGCGGCCTTTTTTTTTTCAAGCCAAAAACGAAGGTAAACGTGGTCGTCTATAACCTACTCTAAATAAATGTCATAAGTCACAGGCCGGAAATTATTGGCCATGGGTCGAACACTACTATAATTGTACTCGACCCGAAGTGCAACGAAAGCTTGTCTGTTCGGTTATGAACCCGGAGAATAAAAGCATATGCTCACCATCAAAAGGAAAAATTGAACAACAAGAAGGTCATTTGTCCTTCTAATAATAGCTTGCTTTTTTTGCTTCTGTAGGCATTAATTGTATTTAATCATTTTTTCGCTGTACCATTAATGCCTGCCTGTAGTAAGCAATTCTATACTTCATACAGAGTAAGTTCTCAAAACCGAATAGTTCTCAAAACCGCAATGTATATTGAATTTGTGATTCCGCAACTACTTTTCAAGATGCCGACAGGAGAAAACAATATCTAAGACGTTCAGTATCCGAATATTACGCCATGAAGTGTTACGTTACAGCGTAGGTATACTCCAACTTCAATATAAGAAACCTGGATATAACGAAATATTGGTTATAACCAAGTAACTAGAATAGAGCCTTATAGCGTTCTAAATAAATTTTTATAACAAATTTTTGGATATAACGAACTTTCGTGCAAGGTGCAACTTTGATATAATGAGGTTTGAGTGTATATAGCATCTATAGAACGAAGCTGCTCAGTGCTTGCTTGCCTGTTAGTGAAGAATCTCTGGGTTCGCGTGAAACTCCATGCGATATGTTCTTTTTTGTTCTCTCCCTACTTCATTCAAGGCCTCGGGGTCAATCGGTGCGACGGTCTACCTGCACAACCTAACTCTTCAAAGTTCAGGGCTCTACAACTGCGAAATATCAGCTGAATCACCGTCGTTCCAAACAGTCATCGGAGTCAAACAAATAAAGGTCATAGGTGAGTAGCGTATAGCTTAGCATATAGGCACTATGTCTTATAAAATCTATCCCCATTGGACTAGGCGTATCGCATGCGCACAGATGAAGCGGTAAAGAAACGATATGAGAAAAAGAAAAGAATTGTAGGAGCAAAAAAAAAATCACTGTAGCTAGTTACATTTGAAGTTTGGACGCTTGTTTGCACTACACGTAAATGATTGAGAAAGAGAGAGAGAAATAATGTTTATTCGCACCCGTCCAGAATGATGGGGAAGAAGGTTTTGGCCTCTGCCCCATAAGCCTTCGGCTGCTAGCGCCATCCTGGGTGGAGCCTCCAGGTTGAATTAAGGGTCGAATGGCCCTTTCTAAGCCTCCTCAGGATATGTTTAAATAAAGTCAATCTCTCTCTCTGGCCTCTGCCCCATTAAACCCTCTTGCCATTGGCTGAAACCCCTTGGGACTCAGCGGCGGTCAGGGCTAGACCGATGACATTAAGCTGTTCTGCGGCGTCGTGACAGCGTAATAAGGCCTCCCAGGATTCTAGGTTTGTGCTTGGATCATTGTAGGAAGGGCAGCTCCAGACCATGTCCACTGGACCTGCAGTGCTATTGCAGTGCGCTCCTCTGGGGTTAAACATTACCGGGTGCCATTTACTGTACAGGTGAGGGTTTGGAAACATCCTGCGATCGTGTGTGCCTTCTCTTTCTCATTCAGACCTTGGTGGGCCGGGAACCATATCAGTGAGATTTGCTCCACGCGCACTGGTCTTTATCGCAGAATTTCGGTGGCCGCAGCAAAGATCCTGTCCATATTATTATTCTTAATGGCTCACTTAGAGTCGCAAACAATCACTTGTGTTTCACCTGTTGAGCTATTGCCAGAGCAATGACAAGTTCTTCTGCCTCAGTTCGGATTGTGTTTTTAAAGGTGCAGCATGAGACCAGGTCCTCACACAAGCGAACTGCTATACCACTGTGTATGCTGTTCCGTTTTCCTATTCAAGAGCGTTTCTGTAGAGCACGTCAGATTGACCTTCAAGTCTAGCCTGCAGGGCTACAGCTCTTGCTTTGCGTCTGCCTTCGTGAAACACAGGATGTATGTTTTTTTTTCGGCAGCGGAGTTAATTTAGGTCTGTCCCTGTTGAGGTATGCTAGCTGTCTGTCTGGAACACTCCGTAGGTTCGAAACCCAAGCGCTCCATGATTTTCCTGCCGGTTTTGCTTCTCAATAGACTTTGATACCGCGACACCGTGGCGGCTGAGCTTGTCCAAAGTATCGGAGACTCCCAGCCCAAGAAGTTGTACCGAAAGTGTTCGGGGGAAGCCCATGCAAGTGCAGTGTTGATGCCTTTTTTTGGTAATGGTGTCAATTTTACCTTTGTCTGCTCTTTCCAGTTTAAGATAACGGACCATGCCACACACGGATTATGACAAAAGCTTCAAAAAACCTTAAAAATTGACTTCCTACATCCCCGCATTCTCGCAACAAATGCGCGTTAAGTTGGTTGTCACTAGCTTCGTCTCCAGATAGCTTCAGTGTTCTCTCTATTTGCTTGTACATGCGCAACCTTGAGATCCTAGTAGTGCCTACGGTAGGAATAGCATTGGCATTCACCTTTTAGCGCACTAAACGTGGGCGCGCCAAGACATACAACAACGTAAGTCTCAAATCGCACAGCCACCAGCAGCATAAGAGGACAGTTGCTCGAAAACATTGCAGCGGTGAATAGAGGCAAGCCCCAAGGGTTCGTCCTCTCTCTGACTCTTTTTAATAGAGCTACGGCCGGGCTTCCTGCGAAGTTGGACAGAATCAAAATATCTCGTACCAGTCGGATTGAAATGCTCGGCAGAAAAATCTGAGGAGGGTTTTTCTACCATACAAAAAAATATGGGGCAGGGTGTTAAGAACTCCCCTTACCCTTACTCCGGAAGGGCTTGTTATATGAATCAGAGTAGTACGCATAAAGACAAAATACAATCCACTGTGCGCGCGCAGAGACTGCACCCAGCAGAAATTTTTTTAAATTATTATTTCTAGCGCCGTGTATTTCGTTCCTTTACCAGTACCTTTCATTACATGCTGTCACTGTGTTCAATTCGCTACATCCTGTCTTCAACTTTTTTCGCCCCTCTTTCCCGAGGAGTAGGCATGAGTCATGCTCTTTTTTATTGCATTTGTCAATCTGCTCCTAATTTTCATTTCTCTTTCACTTTGTCGATTGAGTTTATATTTTCAACCGAAGTAAAATGGCACGGCTAATGAGTACAGTGATAGAATTGTGTGCCCGCGATGAAGAAGCCGTAAAACGCTTCTCTATTAGGCCAAAAGACGTCAGGTTGAAGCAACGGTAAAGCCTTACGGTTGTACTAATTCTTGATAAGAATTCTCGGCAAGAACAGACTGTAACTGTCTCTCGCGTGGAGGCACTTCAGTCGCGATACAGCGGAAGGGTAAGGACGAAAAGGAGAGAAGGGTTTAAGACAGGCAGGGAGAAAGATAAGTGGGAGGTAGCGCAACACTATACTGGAGCGAAAAAAAAAAAGAATGTCAGGTTCTCCGCAAGGGCAAGCAGTAAATGCACTAGGAACAAATTGTAAAGTTATAAAAAGCCAGCAGCGAACTTCTTTGTGATCTAACCTCCCGTAACTCTAGCAAGCGATTGAGCAAGTCAATACGGCCACTACAGGGTGCGGAGTAGCTTTCGTGCGGTCCGTCGCTGGAACGCGAAGCGGTGAGGTCCCAGAACGGAGTACATTGACACCTAATTCTAGTAGTGGGTCGTATGCCAAGGTGAAGGCTCACACCTCACAGAAGAAAGAAGTGCGCGTGGGCCCCCCTGCTTTGGAAAACAAGCCCAACCGACGCGCTTGGTTAGAGCCCTGTTGCTCAGACGTCAATAAACCTTGTCAACACCCCCTGTAGCGACGTGACAATTGGTGGAGGTGCGGGGTAGCCCCTCACGGATGTTTCAGACCCCTCCTGGAAGCAGCACCGAAAGCCCAGTGCGAGTCAACACTCCCGTTCATCGGACAAGCCGCAGGATCAGGGGATTGCCACCTGAAGCTGACCCTACATTTCACCCCAGTATGATGAGCACGTCCGTTCAAACCACTTTAACAGGTACGGAAAACCCCCCGGTGACTCGGTACACCCTCGAAAGTCCACAGGTTCCGACACCGTTTCATGGCACCGAGCTCGAAGACGTCGAGGACTGGTTGGTCGACTTCGAACGCGTGGCTGCTTTGAACGACTGGAACGACGCGGCCAAACTACGGCGTGTGTATTTCTATTTCGAGGATGGAGCACGTACCTGGTACATGAATCACGAGGAACAGATGACATCGTGGCCCGAATTCCGCCACCGGCTGTTGGATACACACAGAAGTGCTGATCGCCACGAACGAGCGGAGCGAGCGATCCAGGCCCGCATACAGATGCCCAATGAAACTGTCATGACCTATGTGGAAGATATGACGCGCCTGTTCCGACGGGCTGATCCGAGTATGACAGAAGAAAAGAAGTTGCGTCACCTGATGCGGGGAGTTAAGGAGCAGCTTTTCGCTGGCCTTGTACGGAGCCCTCCGAACACGGTCGCCGAGTTTTTGTCCGAAGCCGTCACAATGGAAAAGATGCTTCAGCATCGATCCACCCTGTATGAGCGGAGAGTGAACACGTCTACTGCTCAAGTTCTCACGACTTTTGGGAGCAACACCGAGTGTCTACGCGACCTTATCCGCTCTATAGTACGCGAGGAGCTGCAAAAGGCTGCCACACCACCACTACCTACGGTGAGTTCCATTGCAAGCATCGTCAAGGACGAGCTGCATCATGCCCTTCGTGACCCTGTGAGTCTGGATAACGCCACACCCGCCCCGGCTGACTACCACCGTGCGACCTATGCGGAAGCTTTGAAGCACCCAGCTTCGTCTTCCCCGCTGTTTGTTCAAGCACCTTCTACGGTTTCGATCACTTCAGTCGGCGCAGCCGCTACGGTACTACGAGAGCACACGCACGCCCCCACTCCTCGTTTACGCCAGCCCTGTGCATCTTGCGGAACAACCAGCACACTACGTTGACGACAGACGTGCTTCGCCTCGGAAATCTGATGTTTGGCGCACTCCTGATCGCCGACCTTTGTGCTTCCACTGCGGTGAAGCGGACCATTTGTACCGCCTGTGTCCATACCGGCGCCTCGGGCTGCGCGGATTTTCAGTATATTCAGCGCCTCCTCGGTATGGCCAGCGACCCCGGGACATTGAGGACTACCTGGCTCAACAGCGCATGCCATTGCCTTCTGGACGGCAGTCGCGCTCACCGTCGCCGAGGCGCTTTTCATCTTCGCCACAGCGCCATGCTGGCGCACGGTCCCCCAGTCCACGCCGGAAAAACTAACGCAAGCGACCCTTGGAGACGAGATCACTGGCAGTCGACGTGCTGAAGACCTCCGATCGACGCTAGCAGTAAAGGGTGTAGATTCGACTGAGCGATATGTGCAACTTTCTCTGGATATACCGGTGCTGATAGACGGCTATGCAGTAGGTGCTTTAGTTGATACCGGTGCTGATAGACGGCTACGCAGTAGGTGCTTTAGTTGATACCGGGGCTGACTATTCGATACTAAGCGGGAAAATGACCAGACTACTAAAGAAGGTTATCACGCCCTGGCATGGGTCCGTGATTCGAACGGCTGGTGGCCACACCGTCTCTCCGCTTGGAACCTGCACGAGTAGAGTTCGGGTCTGCGGTTATACTTTTGTAGGAAGTTTCCTTGTGCTCCGTGAATGTTCACGCGACGTTATTCTTGGTGTTGACTTCCTTCAGGAGTATGGAGCTGTCATTGATCTTCAAGAGAATCGCATCACCTTCTCAGCCGACCGAGCAATCGACAAGCAGGACGACCAACAACGTGCCGACGTTCTTCGTGTTTCTGCTGAAAGTATAACGCTTCCTCCAAGAGCCAGTGTTATTGTCGACGTCACATGCTGTTGATTGCGAAATGGTGAAGCGATTGCAGAAAGTAATTTTGAACACCTGCTGACTCAAGGTGTTTGTGTGGCTAGGAGTATCATACAGCTACGTGATGGCCGATCTCAACTGCTCGTTACAAATTTCAGCAACGAACACCGACACTTTTTCCGTGGCACTTCCTTAGCGTTTGCAGATGAATTAGGAACCGTTCCCATCTGCTTCTCGCCGGACGCAGTGGAGGCCGCCGAAACGTCTCTAAACAATATCGATATTAATTCTAAACACACCAGAAAACCAGACAGCACTGCGAAAACTCTTGCTTGAATTCAAGTCATGCTTCGCTGCTTCCTCTAAGGTGCGCCAGACTTCAATCACTAGGCACAGAATCGTCACTTACGACGACGCCCGCCCAGTACACCAACAGCCTTACCGTGTGTCAGCGAAGGAACGAGAAGCCATTCGTACGCAAGCTCGAGAAATGCTTGACGAGGGCATCTTCGAGCCTTTCAACAGTGCGTGGTCCTTTCCGGTCGTCCTAGTCAAGAAGAAAGACGGAACGCTACGTTTTTGCGTCGATTACCGGAAGCTGAACAGCGTGACTAAAAAGGGCGTGTACCCGCTGCCACGCATCGATGACTCGTTAGACAGATTACGCCGCGCCCACTATTTTTCCTCTTTGGATTTAAAAAGCGGGTACTGGCAGATTGAGCTTGACGAGCGAGACCACGAGAAAAAGGCCTTTGTTACCCCTGATGGCCTGTATGAATTTCGAGTCCTTCCTTTTGGTTTGTGCTCAGCACCCGCAACCTTCCAGCGAATGATGGACACTGTGCTTACTGGTCTGAAGTGGCAAACTTGTCTCGTATACCTTGATGATGTTGTCGTTTTTTCTGAAACCTTCCAGCAACATCTTGACCGCCTCAGGAGTGTGCTACAGGCTATTCGATCAGCAGATCTTACACTCAAACCGCAGAAGTGTCACTTTGGTTATGAAGAGCTCAAATTCCTTGGCCATGTAGTCAACGCGAAAGTAGTCCGACCCGACCCCGACAAACTTGCCGCTGTAGCCGCGTTTCCGCATCCTACAGACAAAAAGACTGTTCGGCGCTTTCTGGGCTTGTGCGCCTACTATCGACGATTTATTAGAGGTTTTTCGAAGATAGCGGAACCTTTGACTCGCCTTACACACGATGACACACCGTTTGTATGGGCTAGCGAACAACAGGCTCCTTTTGCCGAGCTACGACAGCGGATGCAGTCAGCCCCTGTTCTTGCGCCTTTTGACGATGATGCTGACACAGAGGTGCACACTGACGCCAGTAACATCGGCCTCGGCGCAGTGCTCGTCCAGCATCAACACGGCAAAGAACGAGTCATAGCCTATGCCAGCCGCTCACTGTCCCGTACCGAGGTGAATTACACGACCACAGAGAAACAGTGTCTCGCAGTAGTATGGGCGATCACCAAGTTTCGCCCGTACCTCTAAGGTCGTCCATTTGAAGTGGTGACGGACCACCATGCCCTCTGCTGGTTGGTAAACATTCGTGATCCCTCTGGACGACTGGCCCGATGGAGCTTGCGTCTACAAGAATTTAATGTTACCATCGTATATAAGTCTGGACGGAAGCATGAAGACGCTGATACGCTATCGCGTGCACCCATACCTTTAGTCAATCACGACGAAGAGGACGATGACGGTTTCCTGGGCGCCCTTAGCTCATCTGACTTGAGCAGATGCCAGCGAGAAGATGAAGAGATTCGACCGCTCATCGACTATCTGGAGGGTCATAGCGCCGTTATACCTCGCCATCTATCTCGCGTCGTGACGTCTTTCTGCCTCCGAGATAATGTCCTGTACAAAAAAACGCCCGTTGTACGAGCCGCGCTTACCTCCTCGTCGTTCCGAAGGACATGCGGGACGAAGTCCTCTCCGCGTGTCATGACGAGCTCACATCTGGTCATCTAGGTTACTCGCGAACGCTCGCCAGAGTAAGTGAGGCGTACTACTGGCCCGGACTTTCGGCAAGCGTGAAGCAGTACGTCAAAAGCTGTCGTGAATGCCAGCGTCGAAAGTCGCCACCAAGCAAGCCGGCTGGATTACTTCAGCCAATTGATCCACCCTACAAGCCATTTGACCAAGTCGGCATGGACATTCTCGGCCCATTTCCTTTATCGTTCGACGGCAACAAATGGGTCATTGTTGCAACTGACTATTTGACCCGCTATGCAGAGACACAGGCGATACCACGAGCCACGGCTTCTGAGGTAGCACAGTTCTTCATGTGCCACATTGTTCTGCGCCACGGTGCTCCATCTACAGTGATAACCGACAGAGGAACAGCGTTCACTGAACAGCTTATTGATGAAGTTTTTCGACTGAGTAACACTAGGCATCGAACGACGACTGCTTACCATCCGCAGAGCAACGGCTTAACCGGGCGACTAAATAAGACAGTCACAAACATGATCTCCACGTACATCGACGTCCAACACAAAACATGGGATCGCATTTCGCCTTATGTGACGTTTGCTTATAACACCGCCGTTCAAGAAACAACCCCATTTACACCATTTCGCCTTCTCTACGGCCGCAAAGTTCAGACGATGCTGGATGCGATGCTTCCTTGTGAAGTCGCCGATCAATTAACAACTGACGCAGAAGAATTTGCAAAGCGTGCCGAGGAAACTCGCCAGCTCGCCCGGCTACACATTGGTCAGCAGCAACAGGTCGATGCACGACGTTACAACATGCGTCACAATGACGTATCATACAGTCCGGGAGACCAAGTTTGGGTTTGGACCCCTGTTCGACGCCGTGGCCTCTCCGAAAAGTTGCTGAGCAGATACTTCGGTCCGTATAAAGTATTATGCCGCGTGAGCGACGTAAACTACGAAGTGGTTCGGGACGCTACGTCGTCACAATGGGTACAACTAAAACAACCGACCTCTGACATAGTTCACGTGGTGCGCATGAAGCCTTATTTTGCGCGTTCCTAAAAGACTACTTTTCCTGCGTTTTTTCTATTTGTGCTCCGACAATTGCCTCATCATTGGTGAACTTATAGCGTCTAACATTGGATTATTGGTGCCGTATTTCATTGTTTAAGCTACCTTGTTTTGGTTTTTTTCAATAACTTTACAGCATCGGGACGATGCTCTTTTTTTTTTGTTGAGGAGGAATATTGCCACCTACTTCTAGTAGTGGGTCGTATGCCAAGGTGAAGGCTCACACCTCAGAGAAGAAAGAAGTGCGCTTGGGCCCCCCTGCTTTGGAAAACAAGCCCAACCGACGCGCTTGGTTAGAGCCCTGTTGCTCAGACGTCAATAAACCTTGTCGACACCCCCTGGAGCGACGTGACAATATTATGTCACTCGAGGTATCGCGACTGCACCCTTTCTCAGTATACAGGTGTTTGGTGCCTTTCTATCAAAGTTCTGTTGCCACCAAGGAGGTTATACTAAAACTTATAACCTTCTCGGTTGCCACCCATGCTTGCAGCGCACCCATTCATGCTCCTTTCCCCGACAGAGCAACTCTACGCGCCTCGTTTCTGCTTGACCTGGGTCCGTCTGCAGCCTCCACAACTTTCACTCGCACGTAGAACACACGGTACACTGGGCGATGCTGTCGTTAATTCTCACTTTATACGGAACGTGACGGCGGAGATCGCTATCACTGTAAATGTCACGACCCAACACGGCATCGCCAAGTCGATCCGTGCACGCTGTATGCCTTTAGTGCAAACAAAGGTGCAGCAGCGCAGCCTAATAACAATTCTCGGAATACGCGGGGTCTCTCAGAATTGGGCCGATTCGAGAGAAAACGCGAATATCCAAGAAGCCTCGCGAAGAACTCGCTTGCCGAGGCTATTTGCGTGACGTCACGCTTTTTTCCTAGTTTATGTCATCCTGTATGTCACCACTACGGTATTTCATAATGATTCGCTGGAAATTTTTACTAATCAGCATCGTTCCTTCCTGTACGAGCAAAGTTTTCCGTGCCTCCTGGTTCACACAATTTATCGCCGTTTCGTTGCAGCCCTTCCGAGGCACGGACCTCGCATAGAGGGCGCCAGAAGGCGATACAGAGCCGCCGACACGGTGAACCTTAACTGCACGTCGGGGAAGTCAAAACCGGCGCCGGTTCTGCGGTGGTTCATCAACGGAGCCTTGGTGACCGACTCCAAGAGCCAGAGCGACCTCACAACCGTCAGGCACTCCGACGGTTTCGATACGGTGTCCCGGCGGTTGCGGTTTGTGGTCACGGAAGACTTCTTCGATGAAAGCGAGGACATCAAAGTGAAATGCGAAGTCAGTGTTCCCGGTGTGTACGTGATGAGCGACGAAAAGGTGCTGCTGGAAAAACCGCAGGACAGTCCAGTCGAAGCGAGAGACGTGGACGACGACTGTCTGTCCAAGGTCCTTTCCTTCATAACAAGACTTTGGATGAGAGAATACGAGGAGAAAGACTGACATACAGGAACACGACTCGTGACTAATTCACTCGCGGACAGTCCAATGTCCCCACCGTGGTACGGGCTCCGTGGCCAATGGCCTCCGCGTTTAAAAAAAATAGTCCAACTGACGCACACGCACCCACTGGTGCAAGCATTGTGTGCATCGACCTTTGAGGAGAAAATGCCGCGCACTATTGTATCCGACTGTTATAGAAATAAATTGTAAGCTCCCTCGACAGCCATCACGACCCCACTCAGAAAAAAATTGCATACACAATTGCAATTGCTCATTTCCGTGATGCCAATCACTGCTCGCGCAATTCAGGTAAATGATTATTCCAAACAGATCCACGTTCCCGCGTCGGTGGTCTTTTGTCGAAAACTTGGCAGATTCTGTTAATTTTATTACTCACTCATCCCTGATCAGCCATATCGTATAATTTAAACAGAGACGTCAAACTTTTAGTTTAATATTTGTAGAACGTATATTAGCAAAGAAAAAAGTACATTGTTTAAATAAATGGCATGTGCGCCGCCGTTCTGAGAGTGGAGTTTGTCTTCATTTCTAGCTTGTAACGTTGTAACGGCTGTATTGACGTTGTGTGAAATAACAGTGGTTTTCAAAATGGCCAAGGGCTGCGCGAGCTCGTAAAATGCGAAATAAAATCACGTGACTGCGCCCATGCGCAACAGTGTTGCAGCACTTTCAACCATGTAAAACTTGCATGCTTAGATCACTAATATATAATAACTGTAGGGGTTGCGTCGCAAAACGACCATGCGATTATGAGAGATGCCATAGTGGAGTGCTCCAGAAATGTCTACCACCTGGGGCCACAAGCATTTTCGCCTTGATCGAAAGTGCAGCTGGGATTCGACCCCGCGATCTGCGGGACCATGCCTGCGGGTCAGCAGCCGAGTGCCTTCGATACCACCGTGGCGGGTTGTGCGTAGAACACAACAACCGTGCGAGGGAACCGTCAACCTATCGCTTTTAAGGGACGACGGCGCTTCCTTGCCGTGTGCCGCCGTCAAAAATGTTGACGCGCCTTGGGCGGTTTGCGAAGTATACATGCCTGGAGCCGCGGCCACTTAACTCGCCACGGTCGGCGCGCAGAGCGAAACACCATCATGGCAATGTCGGAAACAGCAGCTGGTATGGCGCGCTGGGATAAAATGGCATAACAAACTCTCTTCACATCAGTGGCATAGCCATGGGGTTGGTTATGTATTTCAGCAACCCCCCCCCCCCTTTCCTTCACGAAATTTCGTATTCGCACACATACAATGGGACAGATCACCCCCACTCTCCGAATAAAATTTCTGCCCTTGCTCCTGGTGCGCTAAAGATGACACGTGCTGTCTGCATAACCCATCGATTTCCGTGGACGCGGCACCTGCTTCTTACAGACAGCCACATGGTCTTAACTGGACCGCCTTCGACACGAATAGCTTCATTTAGCTCGTTCGTTAATTTTCGTGGCGCCCGGACGTCAGTGTTACAAAAAGCACGTGCTGCCACGCTACTAAATCTGCAAGAGATGCATTTATCAGGGAATGCCAACGTTAATTGCAGATATGCTCTTGTCACACCGAATTCGTGCAGAAACCATCGAAGTAACCGAATAGCCGGGTAGCGCGTTCACAAAGACTGGAGGTTACCGACGGCACATACGCTCGCTACTGCGGTATGGACACCATGCTAACCGAACGGGATGTCTCCGATATTGCGCGGCCTTTGGTACCATTGCTGAGAAACAACCAGCCACCACATTTTCGAATCAGAAATTATGAAAGCACCCGTGACGATATATATCTGTGGCACGGCCGCTGAACGAAAAAGCGCACGTGCACTCTATCATCCAACGGCCGTGATTGTGGCAAGTAGCTGTGAGGTGAACTCTCGACGCTCATGTTCGCCGGTGGTTGCCTAGATATTTGCACTTTGGCGACGTTACACTATAGTGTACTAGAATATCCCATTATTCTAGTTCGCTATAGTTACACGAGCCAGCCGCCCGAGTGTCAACGATTTAGCCTCGCCCGCCATAAATGAAACGAGCGAAAGTGTGCGCCCGAGTGATGATATGCGGCAGCAGTGAGGACTACTTACCCGTTGCTCCTGCGTTTGCACTGTGGCTGTGTCCGTGCAACTCTCGCACGGAGAATGATTTCCGCGACTGTGAGAACGGAGCGACGCGGTACCGGCAGCGCAGCGTCGTTGGTTGTGGAAGATTTCAAGCTTCTCAACGTACGTGCCTCGAATTCGGCGTTTTCTTCGAAAATGGCGAGATGAACAAAGGTTTTTTTTTTGTATGTGTGTGTCAGGCAACGACAATCAGCTAGCGTGCCTTTCCTCGCTGTATCGGCTGTATGCCCGGTACTTCCAAGCCACCAAAGGAATGCTTGTTATCACCGTGACATATCTCGATGCGAAAGTGGCAAGCGCAGAATTTTCAAGAAAGAAAACGCAAGCGCATCTTGCGGTCCTTTTTTATATATATATATATTATCAACACGCGCCCGGCCCTTTTAGATCACGGCACGCTATCAGCGTGAATTGTCACTCTCAACAGGGAAGTGGACAGCGCCGAGCTTTCAAGAAAGGGTCGCGCAAGCAAGTCAGGTGACGATTATCGTCGTCGGACAAAAAGATAGGAGGAGGAATAAACTTTATTAGAACAAACCAGCAGGTTTAGGTGGCCGGGCCTAGGCCTTCCATGAGGGTACGTCGAGGGCAGGGAGCCTTCGTGTGCTTGCCTCTACGCCACCTCACGGGCGTGCTGGGTCGTCTGCGGAGCCCCGCTCTTGACGACAAAAAGTTATTCTTTTTTAAGTGTGAATACACTTCATAAGCGACCCCAAACCATCCACCGCCGTCGGCGGCGTCCGCAGTCTTCTCTCTATCTTTAAAAGAAAGAGGACTTGGCGGGCCGCAGCGCGACGCTCTACCGAATAAGCCACGGACGCGACGCTGATATCGGTGTCAGTAACGCGCCTTATATCTTCTTTCCCTTCGCTCGCTCCTCCGCTCTCCTCACTCGCTGCAGCTGCGCGCGCACCCCTCTCTCTCGCGCGCCCGCCTTCTCTCTCAGTCTCCCGTCGAGAGCGGGTCGTGAGGGGGAGTAAAGTTAAAATCCGCTGGCATTCGCCAGTGAGTAAACGTAAACTCCCCCGTGTGATCTAATTGCGATTCCCAGGAACCATTACACCATAAGGCACCATAGTGTGATTAATAAATAAAAATAGTGCGAATTAATAAATACCCCTCATAGCATCACCCCGTGTATTCGCACTTAACCATGTTCACCCTCGGGAAAATGCTTGGGAGTTTTTTTTTTTTTTTTTGAGTGCGCGCTCCATCGCGTTTATTAGGAGCAAACTAGGTACAATTTTTTTTAACCTGCTCGCTCAAGAAGAGCGTCGTGGACGCCGCCATGCTTGCCGATGCATAAACGTGTTGTCTAGTCGACAGACAGACACAGAACTTTATTGTGTCCTGAGAAACGCTGCTCTTTTTGAGAACGTCGTGGGCCGCTCCCACGTAGCCGCACCGTCATTACGTGTGGCCCGAGACACTTGGGCATGGGGGTGAATGCACGCCTATGTCAGTAAGGACAGATTTGTGTTGTGTTACTGTCAGTGCACGGTTAGCAGGCTGGACAAACCATTCCACCTCCCACAATTGGGTGTACTCACAAGGGCGACACAACATATGCACCCAGAATGCACTAGCTGTGGCGAGTTACTAGAGATATAGTGTACTAGAATATTACTGAGAGCCCACGATGCGGTGCTGAGCTAACGGTTGCTGTACCGTGCGTTTGGAAACTACACTAAGTACAGTAGATAATCACTAAACACAGTGGCACCAAACCTGCCGTCGAGTACAGCCGTGGCTGCATAATAAATCTTCTCAGGCTAGATAGTGATACACAGCAATTATCAAACAGGCACAAAATAGCAAGCGTACAGAAGAACTAGGCAGACACGCACCTTATCTTATTTTTTGTCTCTCTTTTGCGTGAGTTGGCTGACGCACCTGTAATGCGCGGCTATTGTATTATTTGAGTAAAAAAATGTTGTCACGTTGCGACGCCGTAAGCTTCGTACACCGTACTGGTAGGATTTGACATACTCTGATCATTTTTTCTCGTTTAAATATAGTAATGCTTACGCAGTGTGAAGGGGTACTTGCGCAAAAATTTTCAGCTGTCGTTTGATTGCGTCAAACAGAAAGCAATGTTCTCAAAAGCATAAAAAGTGTACTGCTCAGCGTAAGTGAACCATGAATAAGTGATAATGAGATCTGGGATTTGTTAAGGGCTCGAGGTACGGCGGCTTCTCTTTACGGTAGCTGGCTCCCCGCCGTCGTCCGCATAGCTGATCTTCGCCAGTGAGGAGACGCGTTCGTAGGGATAGAACGAAGGTTTATTACATGATAGTTGCAAATATGGGAACTGTACAGGCTCACGATTCTTCACATGATTCCACTCTCATTTACAAAAATGCTTCGGCGTTTATAGCCAGCCGTCTCCTTACATGGAGGTCCGAAGAAGGCAGCGAGCACTCTCGCCACAAATCAGGTGACGAAGTCTCAATGGTCCATCCACCAGAAAGGGTGCAGTAATTGTCATCACTCAGGCTAGGCAAAACGGTCCAATGGTAGCACGAGCGCACCACACAATGACGCACCCGGCCCCCGCCTTGAAGGCACCGCAGGGCGAGGAGGTAGAGTCCGGAGAGGGAAGGTTGAGCTCCTCCGGGGAGATGGCCGCTGACCCGAACATCAGCAGCGGTCCACGGCTGCTTTCTGCTACAGGCTTCCAGAACTTTCTCGAACATGTCAGTCCAAACTCTCAATCCCTGAGAACGGCTTCTTCGACGCGTTCCCACGCTTCCGCGCTGTCGGTGCGTTGCGATGGCCTTCGCGTAGATGACAAAAGCCGAGTCAAGAGGTTGTCCTAATGAGAGCAGTCACAGTGGCGCCGTCCCACGCTGTTCGAGCCCGTTCAACGAAAGGCTTGTCTCGCGAAGCTTTCGTTGAGACCCGACTACTTCCTGGAACACCTACAGGACAGCGTCTTGCAGACTGGGCGCCGATGGGGTTGAAAGCTTCTCTAGCAGACTAGCTTACGTACAATGGCGTCTTCCCAGACGAATCGCCGGGCCAAACGTAACAGATTTTACGTCCCAAAACCACGATATATTTATGAGAGACGCCGTAGTGGA